TGGGGTGGACAGGTGTCTATAAAGAGCTCCGACAGGTGCTACTAAGTGGGATGAATGAGTGGAGTAGAGGTGGACTTTGTAAAGGCGCAGTAACAGGTCTTTGAGAGCCAGAATTCTTGCTGTTTCTCAGGGGTTCAAATACTTCTGTTCAGCCCGTGCAAGACAAATACATTCTTTACAAATCATACAATGTGATCTCCTGAATTCTGTCCTCAGAGTGGGAATCCCCTGCAATGTGAATGTCAGACCCTCCATGATGGAGAAGTGGGAGAACCTGCAGAATCGCAGGGGGTTCAAATACTTCTGTTCCTCACTGTATATACACACATAAAGCGCTGAGCAAACCGTTGGCGCTATATAAATCCTGTATAATAATAATAATAATATATAATGTTTGGGGGTTATAAGTAATTTTTAATAGCAACAAGTACTGATTTACAGTTTTAAACATAATATGCCAGAAAATGCCGGGTCTTCAAGTGGCTAAAAGACAGTTCGGACTGCCATGGACTGCACTAAAACGCATCTACCACCGAGCTAGACATCCCCATAGCACATTCGTTTTCCTATCGACCACAATGGGGAAATAGTTACTATTGTTTTATATTTGGGCAATAAATACAATTTTTTTGCTATTGCCATTGTTTTAGAGGAGCTTCTGTCAAACATCGGACCTGTGTCAATAACAAAAATTACCTTGACCTTTTATTATATTTGCCCCATGGCAGGTATGATGCTAAAGTGCCATCTAGAGTTTGGAGTTAGAAAATCCTTCTAGCATAGAAACTGATGGAAGAGGTAGAGGTAGCCAGACTTTCTAAATAAAAGGCCAGCAGCAGAAACTGAAAGTAGGACACAAGATGAAGGAAGGGCTCTGCCAGAGGGGACTCCATAAGATGAAGGAAGGGCTCTGCCAGAGGAGACTCCATAAGATGAAGAAGGGGCTCTGCCAGAGGGGGCTCCATAAGATGAAGAAGGGGCTCTGCCAGAGAGGGCTCCATAAGATGAAGAAGGGGCTCTGCCAGAGGGGGCTCCATAAGATGAAGAAGGGGCTCTGCCAGAGGGGACTCCATAAGATGAAGGAAGGGCTCTGCCAGAGGGGGCTCCATAAGATGAAGAAGGGGCTCTGCCAGAGGGGGCTCCATAAGATGAAGAAGGGGCTCTGCCAGAGGGGGGGCTCCATAAGATGAAGAAGGGGCTCTGCCAGAGGGGACTCCATAAGATGAAGCAAGGGCTCTGCCAGAGGGGACTCCATAAGATGAAGAAGGGGCTCTGCCAGAGGGGACTCCATAAGATGAAGAAGGGGGCTCTGCCAGAGGGGACTCCATAAGATGAAGCAAGGGCTCTGCCAGAGGGGACTCCATAAGATGAAGAAGGGGCTCTGCCAGAGAGGGGACTCCATAAGATGAAGAAGGGGCTCTGCCAGAGCCAGAGGCGATAACACTGGGAACTACTTTCCTGCAATTGTTTGAGGTGCCTGGAGTCCTGTTTGCTACAGAAATCCTGGTCCAGCTATAACACAAGCTAATCGACTTTTAATGTATACCTATAGTATACAGACCATTGTCAATGTTCATTTGCTAGGAAGGTTAGATATGCATGTGCATGCGTGTTGTATGCATACATGTAACATTTACATTGTCTCCCTATAATTGTATGTAGCTCATACATGCAGCATTCCTGTTTAGTAAAAGCACATTAAATAGAAAATGTAATCTGCTGCAGAAAAAATACTAAACAAATAAAGCATCCAGCACCAAGGTATAGGATATACACTATACCAGGGGTCTCCAAACGTTCTAAACAAAGGTCCAATTTAGTGTCCTTCAGACTTTCGGGGGGTTGGAATGTGGCTGTTGGGAGTAGTAGAGGTCCTGCTGTCAGTGGGAATAGACAATACCCCATCTTTGGTGTCAGTGGGAAGAATTGGACCCCATTATTGAGGTCATTGGGAAGGAATTGCAGCCCATCATTGGTGTCATTGGGCTCCATTGTTGGCATCATTGGGAGGAATTGTGCCCCATCATTGGGAGGAATTGTGCCCCATCATTGGGTGTCATTGGGAGAGTTGTGCCCTATTGTTGAGGTCATTGGGAGGAATTGCACCCTTTCATTGTTGTCATTGGGCCCCATTGTTGGCATCATTGGTAGGAATTGTGTCCCATCGTTGGGTGTCATTGAGAGGAGTTGTGCCCCGTTGTTGAGGTCATTGGGGGGAATTGCACCCCATCATTGGTGTCATTGGTAGGAATTGTGTCCCACCATTGGGGGTGCTCATTGTTGAGGATTGGGAGTTGTAGTGTCACTGGGCCCCATTGTTGAGTTGTGTCATTGGGATTGGGAAATTGCACCCCATCATTAGTGTCACTGGGCCCCATTGTTGGCATCATTGGGAGGAGTTGTGCTCCATCATTGGATGTCATTGGGAGGAATTGTGCCCTATCTTTAGGTGTCATTGGGAGGACTTGTGCCCCATCCTTGGGTGTCATTGGGAGGAATTGGGCCACTTCATTGGTATCAGGGATGAAATAGTGCCCCAAGGGCCGGATCAAAGCAAGCAAAGGGCCACATCTGGCCCCTGGGCTGCAGTTTGGAGACCACTGCACTATACAATTCACTTATATTTGATTAGGTGCAGCGCTAATAGGATACACTATACCAGGAGTCTCCAAACTTGGAGAGTGACGGTTGGGAGTAGAAAAGGTCCTGATGTCAGTGGGAACAGACAATGCCCCATCTTTGGTGTCAGTGGGAGGAATTGGACCCGATTGTTGAGGTCATTGGGAGGAATTGCAGCCCATCATTTGTGTCATTGGGCCCCATTGTTGGCATCATTGATAGGAATTGTGTCCCATCGTAGGGTGTCATTGGGAGGAATTGTGTCCCATTGTTGGGTGTCATTGGGAGGAATCGTTCCCCTTCATTTGTTGTCATTGGGAGGAATTTTGCCCCATCGTTGGGTGTCATTGGGAGAGAATTTTGCCCCATCGTTGGGTGTCATTGGGAGGAATTGTGCCCCACTGTTGGGTGCCATTGGGAGAAGTTGTGCCCCTCATTGGGTGTCATTGGAAGGAATTGTGCCCCATCGTTGGGTGCCATTGGGAGTTGTACCCCATCATTGGGTGTCATTGGGAGGAATTGTGCCCCATCGTTGGGTGCCATTGGGAGGAGTTGTGCCCCATGGTTGGGTGTCATTGGGAGGAGTTGTGCCCCATCATTGGGTGCCCATGGGAGGAGTTGTGCCCCATCGTTGGGTGTCATGGGAGGAATTGTGCCCGATCATTGGGTGTCTATTGGAGGAGTTGTGCCCTATCATTGGGTGTCATTGGGAGGAATTGTGTCACTTCATTGGTATCAGTGGATGAAATATCTCCCAAAGGGCTGGATAAAAGCAAGCAAAGGGCCACATCTGGCCCCCGGGCTGCAGTTTGGAGGCTACTGCACTATACAATTCACCAATATTTGATAAAGTGCAGCACTAATTTAAAAAAAAACCTCTGAAAAGTGAAATGACACTCCGAAGAGTGAGCTCAGTAGTTAATAGTAGGACTCATATTCCTCAGGAGGGCGGACCATCACTCTAAAGGGTTAGCTCAATAACCATTGTGGATACAAATACAAACACTCAATGGAAATATGAAAAAACAAAAACCTCTGAAAAGTGAAATGACGCTCTGAAAAGTGAATTTAGCAGTGAATAAATAGCTAATATCCCTCTGAAGGGTGAAACCACCACTGAAGAGCCAGCTCAGTGACCACTATAAATACAAGCTCAGTATTGACTAGGGATGCACCGATACCCTTTTGTGATTGGAGTGTATGAGTATCATCACTTTTGGTCAAGTACTCAAGCTCCACCCAACATGTTTCGTCAAAAATGACGTCATCAGGGGTTTTCTTGGCGCTGCACTTAATCAAAAGCACATTAATACACTACAGGGTTTTGTTTCCTTGCTTTTCCTCAAAGCAGCCATAAAGATAAGTGAAATCAAGATGGAGTGAAAAATAAGCGACGCTAAAATTGGTCATTTCTGGAGTTGCTTGCGGGCGACCCCCGGACACAGCCATAGATCATCACTGGAAGATGATGTGATATTCGGGTAGGCCTGGATGTCATGAAATATCACAAACATTGAAGGGTCCTGGGCGTTATCCGTCACGCTGTCATAGCGGTCGGTGGGTTCGGCTACGTTTTTGGCTGGAGGTTCTTTCATCCCTTGTCGTCCAACACAGTAGAGTCCGGTGAGAGCGCGGGCCAGGTACATGTGCTTCTGTCCGTCTCTATCAGGACTGGCGTAATTAACGGAATAATCTGCATTCACTGCAAAATATGTGCCATTTCCATAAAGAGTACCTGTATGAAATGAAAGACAAGTCACACATTGGGATGACTTAACAGGAGAGTTCCAGAGGAGAGGTGCAGCAGGAGAGAAGGTCTGGAAGTGCGAGTGAAGATGAAAAAAGGCTGAATTCACACCATGTGTCTCTGTGTTTACAAGTGGTTCCATTATCGCCCAGCACACATCAAAGTGCTCTGGTGCACATGTCAGGGCATGGGTGTGAACTGGTCCATTTGGAACCATTGGACTTTGGACAGCATTGCGTTGAGACAGGCAGCCTGCTTTGCAGTGGCTATTTTAGTGATTTTTGTAACATAAATATATACAGTACATAGAATAATACATTATAAATACCTTCTGGAAATGAGAAGCTGAGCTTCCCCTATTCACAGGCTAATTAACTTGTGTGACTGGTTCGCAAAGGCTAGTTTAAACAGGAAGTGATGTTGGCAGGAAATGGGGGGAGAATTGAGAACCCCCACCCATGTGCTAAACACAGGAGGTCTGGAAGGAAGAGGAGGACCAGCTACACTATATTGCCAAAAGTATTGTCCCCCCCCCCTCTTCCTCCAGTCATGTGATTCAGGTGTTCCAATCCCCTCCATGGCCACAGGTGTTCCAATCTCCTCCAAATCATTTGATTTAGGTGTTCCAATCCCCTCCATATCATGTGATTCAGGTATTCCAATCCCCTCCCAATCATGTGATTCAGGTGTTCCAATCCCCTCCCGATCATGTGATTCAGTGTTCCAATCCCCTCCCGATCATGTGATTCAGGTGTTCCAATCCCCTCCCGATCATGTGATTCAGGTGTTCCAATCCCCTCCCAATCATGTGATTCAGGTGTTCCAATCCCCTCCCAATCATGTGATTCAGGTGTTCCAATCCTCCATTCATGTGATTCAGGAGTTCCAATCCTCTATATCATGTGATTCAGGTGTTCCAATCCTCTCCATATCATGTGATTCAGGTGTTCCAATCCCCTCCCAATCATGTGATTTAGGTGTTCCAATCCCTCCCAATCATGTGGTTCAGGTGTTCCAATCCCTCCCAATCATGTGATTTAGGTGTTCCAATCCCCTCCCAATCATGTGATTCAGGTGTTTTCCCAATCCTCCATATCATGAGATTCAGGAGTTCCAATCCTCTATATCATCCAATGTGATTCAGAAGTTCCCATCCTCTATATCATGTGATTCAGGTGTTCCAATCCCCTCCATATCATGTGATTCAGGTGTTCCAATCCTCCATATCATGTGATTCAGGAGTTCCAATCCTCTATATCATGTGATTCAAGGTGTTCCAATCTTCTCCATATCATGTGATTCAGGTGTTCCAATCCCCTCCCAATCATGTGATTCAGGTGTTCCAATCCCCTCCATATCATGTGATTCAGGTGTTCCAATCCCCTCCATATCAATGTGATTCAGGTGTTCCAATCCCCTCCATGGACACAGGTGTATACAATCAAGCCCCTAGGCATGCAGACGGCTTCTACAAACATTGGTGAAAGAATGGGTCGCTCTCAGGAGCTCAGTGACTCCAAGCGTGGTCCCGTGATAGGTGGCCACCTGGGCAATAAGTCCATCCGTGACATTTCCTGGCTACTAAATATTCCACCAACTGTTAGTGGGATTATAACAAAGTGGAAGCCACTGGGAACAACAGCCACTCAGCCACCAAGTGGTAGGCCACGTCACATGACAGGGCGGGGTCAGCGCATGCTGAAGCGCACAGTGCGCAGAAGTCGCCAACTGTCTGCAGAGTCAATAGCTAAAGACCTCCAAACTTGGTGTGGCCTTCAGATGAGCCCAACAACAGTGCGTAGAGAGCTTCATGGAATGGGTTTCCATGGCCGAGCAGCTGCATCCAAGCCTTCCATCACCAAGTGCAATGCAAAGCATCGGATGCCGTGGTGTAAAGCACGCCGCCACTGGACTCTAGAGCAGTGAGGAAGTGTTCTCTAGAGGGACCAATCACAATTCTCTGTCTGGCCATCCGATGGACGTGTCTGGGTTTGCCAGGAGAACGGTACTTACCTGACTGCATTGTGACTAGTGTAAAGCTTGGTGGAGGGGGGATTATGGTGTGGGGTTGTTTTTCAGGGGTTGGGCTTGGCCCCCTAGTTCCAGTGAAGGGAACTCTTAAGGCGACAATTTCATGCTCTCAACTTTGTGGGAAGAGTTTGGGGATGGCCCCTTCCCTCTCCAACATGACTGCCCACCAGTGCACAAAGCAAGGTCCATAAAGACATGGAGGAGCCAGTTTGGGGTGGAGGAACTTGACTGTCCTGCACAGAGTCCTGACCTCAACCCCATAGAACACCTTTGGGATGAATTAGAGCGGAGACTGCGAGCCAGGCCTCCTCCCCCGACATCAGTGCCTGGAAGAATGGTCCAACCATGACAAATGTGCTTCTGAAGAATGGTAGCCAAAGGGCGGGGCCAACTCAATAATGAACCCTACGGACTAAACCTTGATGTGCGTGGACGGCCTTCCCACTAAGAGTTGAAGTCATGTGTAGCTGGAAAGGGCGGGGCCAACTCAATAATGAACCCCCTAAGACGGCCATTAAAGATAAGAAATTACGGAGTAAGACTGGAAGGCCATTAAAGTTCATGTGTGTGGAAAGGCCGGCGGCCAATACTTGGGGCAATATAGTGTATGTTCATTTTCCCTGAGCAACCGTCGTGAAGCTCGTGAAGCTAAGACACACATTAATTGGGGCAAATAGAGCTGATTGCTTATGTATGGACAGATTGTGTGGGTGCAGATGTAGAGCCCCAAATACCAACACTGTGTATTTGGGGCCACTCACCCACACCTGCACACTTCTCGAATTAGGGCCTGTGGCTGTGTTCATACACAGAGACAGAGGCTCCTGTTCATTCATAAACTGAAGCATAGCAAACACAGTTTACTATGCTTCAGTTATGAATGAACGCAGCGAGTGACTGATCACTCACTGTGTTCATTCCCTAAAGGAAGGGGTCGGTAAATTACACATTTACCAGGCCCCTTTCTCCGCTCTCCATCCTGAACATCCCCCTGCACACAGCAGCTTGCAGAGGGACTCAGATGTGGGCAGGACAGTAAAGGGGATTAGTGCGTTGGAGGGCAACCATAGGAACGATGCCCTGTGTGCCTCTCCCTCCAGCAACTGAAAGTTGGTGTGAGGGAAAGAGGGAGAAACCTTCTTTAAGCCGCTGCAGAGAGCCGCGCATCGTTCCTGTAATTGCCACAGTACCGATCATCCTCCCTGTCCTGCCCACATCCAATTCCCCCTATTACCTTGGCCCTCCTGTATGCCAGGGCCCCGTAAAGGGGTAAAGGGGGTATGCTCTTATTGTTGGCCCTGCTTCCAATATTTAGACTAGGGAGGCAGAACTGACAGAGACAAAACCTTGTGGAGATATGTCAGGGTGTGTATAGAGTACTGTCAGGAGTCCATCTGGGACAGAGGAGCACGTGCGCCAATGCACAGGCCAGGCACATCCACTAGTGTCCTATGTGGGCATGCTCATTTGCACTTGTGTTTGCATGCACATCCAATTCCACAAATTGGCACCAAACGCCCCATTCAAGGAGAGGAGCAGTGACAGAAGATTGCTGGATGATCTTCAGCTTGCCCTTGTTTCTTGCTCCCGTCTTATTACTGACTCGGCTTGCCTCTGGACTTCTCCTCTGCTGGATCTCTATGATCTCAGCTCATCTAAGGATTCTTGCTTCTCTTAATTACCCGTATAGGACCCTGAACTGGCTCCTGACTCTTCTGCTGTATCCATCCTCTTGATCACAGTGTAGGACCCTGGTTCCAGCTCCTGATGACACTTCTCCAGTTTTCCCCTACCAACCTGATTCTGAACCACCTTCATACACTACAGGTGTCATCACACAGCTTACTGCTGAACCTGCCCTGTTCCACCTCAAGTGTACCTTGTGTTCCTGCTGACATCCTTGCCCACCTACCTAAAATCTACCCAGTCAGACACTTCTTGGAGCAGCCACCGGTGAACCAGTCTATTGGCACCTGTGTCTTCTTTGGGCCTTGCACTCCCTGCCAGCACCTCCAGGGGTACATAGACCAAAGCTGCAATGGAAGCCCTCTGATCACTTTGGCCTCCAACCAGGAGAAATGCTGCTTTCACACACAGCAGCAGCTCTGCCCGCCCCCCTCCCCCGCAGTCCATTAGAAGAAGGCTTTGTATTTTGTGAATGGATTCACATAATACAAAATGCTCTGTGACTGGAGAGTAGGAGGGGAGGGGTGGGCAGAGAGGCTGCAAGAAACCAGAAGGTCCAGCATTGGGGTGCTAGAAGTATAGCGATAGCTGTACTCCCGGCACTCAGTAAAAATGAAAATTGCAAATTAAAAGGATAAGTCCATGAGGTGACACACACCTCATTGAGCTTTACCCATAGTAATCTAAACCATCTTACAAAATGGCGGAATTCCTGGAGTTCATTTTTAGCTGTAATTGTTCCTCTGAAATCTCTCACCGTTTTTCCCTGCGTAGCTCCGGTTGAATCCATTATGATTGACGTGTTGGATGGAGTTGAAGTCGGTCCCATGGAAAAGCTCTTTCTCACTGGTGGTGGAACTGTTCTTGGAGTCGATGTCCTGCTTCGTTATCTGGTACTTGAGCCAGAGATGTCTGTTCTGTACACGCCGAATCTGGGAGGACAAGGCATGCAAAGGTTCAGATCTATACACAATGTTCTACCAACTAAACTGCAGAGTGTTCCACCCACTATAGAGGACATGTTCTATGAAGAATACAAGTCAAGTATTGGTTCTAACATGGTGTTATGGGTGGAATATTCTATTGAAGGTTTATGTCATAGTGCCAGTCATTATTCTGTAATTGGAGTGCCCAGTTCTTTCAGTGCCTCACAGGCCTCCGCTCTGTTGCTTCCCCGTCTTCTGGAGAATTCTAGAATAATATTGGGACAAAGAACAGGGCATGCAACCTGAATATTTATGGAACTCCAGCCAATCCCTGGGGAGCTGGTGAGAGAGCCCATAAATAATCTAAGGCTTGAGTAGCAGGGTGCATTATTCCTGGGCCCAGTCCTGCTGGAGGAGACCCCTGTGCAGAGGTTCTGCCACGGGTGCTGAATTTTAGGAGAAGCCTTCAGGAAGACACAAAGGTCCCAGATAGGCTTTGCTGGGGGGACAATTTGCTTGAGTCTGGTGATCAAGTTGGTTCCGGAGATGCTCACTGGAAAGAGCCAGGAGGAAGTTGGTGGGGAGTCAAGAGTCAAGCAGAAGAGCCAGGTGACTATCGGTAGGAGGCAACCGATGATCCTGTGTGGGTACATGACTCCAGTGCTGAAGAGTCAGTGACTGTGTGCAGCTTTGTAACTTCCGGAAGGAGTACTAGTCACTGTCAGCGTACAGATCCTGAGGGACATTCCTTTTTCTACAAGTGCAGCCAGAGAGTTGAGAACTCCTCTAGTTATCAAGTTCTACAGTTTCAGGGTATCCCATGATCCCCACCCCTATCCAAATTCATCGTTCCCGATAAAACCCCCAAAAGAGAAACCTCTAGACTGTTCTTTGGATCCCGTAGAAGAATAAGGGACATGCAGTATGCCTGGCTGTGTGTGTGTGGGGGGGGGGGGGTGGAGGACCAAATTCACCAGTGGTTCTTTTGGGGGTGCGCCACTAGATATAGAGTTGTGCTCTAAAGTTTTGCACCCCCTGGCAGAAATGGTAAAACTTTGGCATTGATAAATTTTGAAAATATGACTGATCATGCCAAAAACTGTCTTTTATTGAAGGATGGTGATGATATGAAGCCATTTATATCACAGAGTTGTTTGGCTCCTTTTTAAGCCGTAATGATAACAGAAATCCCCCAAATGGCCCGGATCAAAAGTAACCCCCCCCCCCCCCCCCCCCCCCCCCCCCCCCCCCCCCCCCGGAATGTTCGGCCTTGGTACAGACACACAAGGTGACACACACAGGTTAAAATAGCAATTAAAAGGTTAATTTCCCACATCTGTGGCTTTTGGAATTGCAATTAGTGTCTGTGTATACATAGTCAGTGAGTTCGCTCTCACATGGATGCACTGAGCAGGCTTAGATACTGAGCCATGGGGAGCAGAAAAGAACTGTCAAAAGACCTGTATAATAATGATGGAACTTTATAAAGATGGAAATGGATATAAAAATATATCCAAACCCTTGAATATGCCGGTCAGTACTTTTAAATCACTTTTTAAGAAGTGCACAATTCGGGGATCTCTTGATATCAAGCCAAGGTAAGGTAGACCAAGAAAGTTTGCAGCCACAACTGGCAGAAGAATTGTTCAGGATACAAAGTAAAACCCCCAGGTAACCTCAGGAGAAATACATGCTGCTCTGAAAAATGATGGTGTGGTTGTTTCAAGGAGCACAAAATGAGCTGCATAGTTGACTTGCCAGAAAGAAGCCTTACT